TGAATTTTGAAGAACATCTTTGTTTCAGTTTGTGCACTGTTTTGAAAAGTGTGGATTTGGTAGATTCACTTTTAAAGGCAAACTGAAAGTCTCAACCCCATCCCTAAAACAAGTAAAAAGCTTTATTATCATAGATCAGAAATATGTGTTTTCTTCCAGGTGCAGCTGATTTTATATCAATCAAGTATTAATTTCCAAATTTGGAACTGTCAAACATATCATACTGGCCCACTTTTTTCTCTGTTAACCCTGCAGTTACCCATGGAAACTAGTGCAAACTAAAATCAATTGCTCATGACCTCCCAGTTATTACCTTTTTAAATGCAACAAGCATCTTCAAACTCATCCTCTTCCCAACACCTCATCCAATTAGCTGGACTCATTCACAATTTCGTTCTACTCATTTTAATTTCTATGGAAAACAAGCTGCAGGCACTGTGTGTGGAGAGGGGTTTTGTACCACCCTAAAATAGAGGTACAGCATTATGAATGGGAGCTTTTGTATGCCAGACAAGCTATCTATAGAAATTTTCACCTTACTTGTTGAGCTAGTTACTGAGATTCAAAGTCCACTGTGTGCTCCTTTGGTACAATATATTTCCTTATTATATCTATCACTATGGTTGCTTTGTGTGATGTCATTATCATCCTGTTTTATATACTCTGGAAGCCAGCAGCCCATAGAAGAAGCTGATTAGTACAGAACAAAATATGAAACTGTTCCCTGTTTCCCTCTCCTTGTCTCAGACCATTTTTTTAAAACCTCTCTGTCCATTTATTTTAATATCCCCCTCTTCCCTCAGGTGCCTGTGCGTAGGTCCATCACTTATTCTGCATCCTTCCTTCAGCCACTTTGTTCCTGGACCTTCAGCAAACCCCAGTCCTCAGACTCCCCCACAGAATACCAAATTTTTCCGTGTATAAGACGAGCTTTTTTGACCCAAAAATGAGGTTCAAAATTTAGGTTTGTCTTATACATGGGTAGTGCTGAGGGGGAGCGGGCAAATGTTTTTTTGGCATGAGCCTGAGATTTTAAGCGGCGTTTTGCCGCTTGATTGTTGGGGGTGTGTGCTGAAAATCGCTCACCCACTGGAATGAAGAATGAGCCCGAGATTGGAAGCGGCAATTGTAAGCGGTGCAAGCGGTTGTGTGCTGCGTTCTGGCGGGTGAGTGGTTTTCAGCAAACCCCCCCCCCAAATAATCCTCCCGCAAAGCTCAATCCCCCCTATTTTCTAAATTTTGAGGCCCCAAAAATAGGGGGCGTCTTATACATGGGGACATCTTATGGATGGAAAAATACAGTATGTGTGATGTTTTAATCCTGGCCAAATTGGAAATTTATCTTTCTCCCACAGTCAACAGCTGGGCTGAACATGTCCTGAGAGCTTTGTTGTCTGAGGACTTGGAATAATTGTGAACATTCTATGCCATCTGTTATCAAGGGCTTCACCAGCATAAGCACAGTCCAGTGTACACAATTGTGTACACAGTGTACACAATTGTCACATATTTATCCCACCCCTCCTGTAAGGACCCCCAAGCAGCATATATGGGGGGGGAGTAGCCCATTTTATCCTACAACAACACTGAGAGGTAGGCTAGACAGAGATAATAATTGACAATCCAGTAGTGTTCATGATTGAGCAGATATTTGAACCACTATAAAGAACTTTCCTGAGGTCATATAGCGGCCAATTTATTATACTCACTGGAAATTATTGCAATGATTTCACAGCACGTATGACTTCACAACATGTATGGCAGAGCCAAAACATATATGTGCATAGTCAGTTTACATTACATTACATTATATCCACATTCTTCACATAAATGAGAATTGCCATATACAAAAAAGTTATGGGAGAGTGACCCGCAGATGCGCATGAAACATTGCAGTTCTTTAGGCTGTAAGTCAAGCCTATAGAAGAGCAGAAAACCCAAAGCAGGCAATGACAGAAGCTTCTGATCTATAAAATGGCTTAATTTGTGAACAAGTAGAGCACAATTACGGTGTTTTATGCCACTAAGCTGCCTTTCAAATAAATTATGTATTCAATATGTAATTAAAGTTCCAAGGTTGGCACTTTGTGTGTGCTGACATTTGTAATATATAGGCAACCATTAGCAAATGGATACCGAGGCTTTGGCTGGACAATTGAGTGAATCAAAGTCTAACCACCTTTTGGTAAATTAATCATCACTAATGCACATTTTCATTTGTGTGAATTAACAAAATAGTCTGTAATTGTCCAATAAATTTGTTAGAGAATGCTGAGGCTTAGATTTATATTAGTTCTGCATAGCCCATTAGTCAATATTTTAAATTCCAAGCCAAGAACTGGTGTAAGATTATTCTACTGAACAGATATCACCATATATTTGAGTCATAATACAACCCTGTCTGCAAAGATTATGGTCCAAGGTTGGTTATTCAGCACCGAACAGAGCTGAACAAAACAGACAAACTTCCTTTGGTGCAAGATTCACACAACCATATTGGTTTTGAGCCGGGGGGGGGTTGTTCCATCATGAATTGATTTCTGTACTCCCTAAGAGACAGATCTTTACCAAATTGGGTTGTCTCACAGCGAATCTTATCAGACACTATCTGAGCATTCAAAAACATACAGTGACAATCACATGAGAGGGTTGTGTGAATTTGCTCTGCCCCTCTCCCCAATGTTTCCACATGGTGACATTATATCTGAAACTGGGCAGCCTGTCAAGTGTTGCCATGAGGTGGAGTCCTACTTTAGACAGGTCCTCAATTCATAGACATCCTTGTATGCGGGGGAAGGTGGGTAAGTGTGGCGCATTCCCATCGCTCACACAATTACAGCTGCTTGTTTTTGAACACCTGAATAATGCTACTATCATCATACCATGGAACTGCATGCAGTTTCATGTGGAACAGCAAAAGTATTCCAACGGGACAACACAATCCACCTTGAAAAGGCTTTCCAAGAGCTGCTACCACAAAATATTTGAGCTTTATTTGACTGTTTTCTAAGGAAGCAATAAGGGATTAGTAGTTTGGGAGTATGTCCAATCAAGAGCATGCTTTCTCATGCTGCTGGTGGCTTGCACAGCTTATGGATGTGGTGAATTGTAGGCTGTGGTGCAGTTCTCATGGAAATCTATGGTGTGAAATCTATTGTGCATCTTTTGTATTATTCATAATAGAAAAATCTATGATGCACCTTTTGTCTTGGTACTGAATCCTCTAGTTCCAGATTTGCACTAAAGCATGAAACCAGGGGCACAGGAAATTCCCATATGACATCCCTCAACATGCTGATGTGCATGGGATATTGTGGAATTGGTCCAATTTACACCCACTTCTCCTAGTCTCCTAGTCTTCATCAACTCTGCTCCCTATCATCTTTTGCTACCCTCCTTGAATAATGTGTTTGCACTCAGACCCTCAGCCTGGAGCAAGTTAGCAACTTCTGTACTGAATCCAGGACCACAATTTAATACCAGTGCAAAGCTGTGATGTCATTTAACTCATACCACAGCTTTGATGCACCAACATGGCAGAATACTGTGGATTAGCTTACAATTCACGCCAGAGGTATCTTTCCAAAGGACACGCTCAATGCAAAAAAAAAAATATGAATGCAGCTTCCAAAGGTCAACCTGCCAGTGTTAACCTACCATTGCCCAAATAGTTGCATCTGAACCGAATACCAGTTAGCCATCTCAGAAATGCACCATTCCACTTTATTTGTCCCTTAAGTTAATAGCATGCAATGCTTGGATTCTTAGCTATGTAGCCTATCTACAGATTTTGTAAAAATAGAGCAATGCTGTAAAAGTTTAATCAATACATGAGGATATTTAAATAGGGAATGTAACAACAAATTAAAAATTAGATTTTTAGGAAACAGTATTATAGTGAGTTCACAGCGGCTTATGCAGTGTAACTGTGCCATCCTATGCTTTTGTACTCAGAAGTCAGTCCGACTGTGGTCAGTAGAGCACTTACTCCCAGGTAAGTATAATGATGGCAGACTAAGTGAATGTTTTATGCCACACCTATCAGCCAACAAGTAAAATGTGGAGCCTTTCTGTACTTGGGAGTGATATCGGTACTTTTTTTGTATCCTTCTATGCCATCTCATATCTAGATCACTAGATGCTAGTGAACCATCAATGGTGACACTGATCTTTAGATGTCTTCCCCCAAAGCATTTTGATAAGTTAACTTTAATTACTACAAATTTACACTAGGACTAAGCTCAGAGCCACATGTCAGACAGATCTCAACTGAGCACAACTGAACTGCCTTTTTACACAAATATGTAGGCCCCCCCCCCAGAAATACTCATGGTAAAACAACTCAGTTCTTGGCTTCAGAGGTTTACATGGATCTACTTACTAGTCAAGGTGAAGTATTTAGAATAGCTATAATGCCTCCTGAATAATGAAGCTCAGGAACCCTAGGAGGTTACTCTGAACCACAACCACATTTTTCTCTCTACATGAGTTGCAAAATGAAAAGACAAAAGATTTTATATATATATATATATATATATATATATATATATATATATATATATAAAATCGACAAAGATTCTGCCACAGCAGCAGGATCTTTGCTATTTCAGAGTTCATTGAGTCTCCAGATATTTATTCAGTCCTTGCTTTTAAATCTGTTGCTGTCAGACAAGTATCTCATCTCAGCACTCAGACATACTGGTGTGAACAGTAGTCTTCAATTTCAGTTTGCTTTGAAAAACTTACTCATTCTAAATTGCCTGTGCTGATCTCTATTTGCACAAGATTTGCTCCGAAAGAAAATGTTACTTGGATGAGAATCTTCTACACAGACACTTTAAATACATTTAGTTTTAAAACAGCACACACATAACTACACATATACCTTAATACACAAACACACACACACCCCATATTCACATTCAGTTCACTCAGAAAGATGCATAAAAATCAAGGGGGAAACCCCTGCATGGTTTATTTAGTAAAAAGGTATACATTACCAGATGCATTGTGAAGTTGCAGGATCACCTGCAGAGGAGAGAGAAAATGCTAGGAATCAGATGCTGCCACAGTATTCCTTAATATTACACAGAGCCTGATCTGACTGTTACAGAATACCAGCAAAGTGTGAGGCTGGAAAACCTTTGAGTTGAGCTCACTCTATAGGCATCAGAAAGCCTCAAAGGGGAGTGAGAGGAGGGAGGGAGCGAGGGAGGGAGAGAGAGAGAGAGAGAGAGAGAGAAAGAGGCAGCCCACAAATAGCTAGATGAGAAACTTCTGGCACCTTTCCAGCCCAGGAATGAATTCACTGTAATTTGGAGATATACAGTGAAGGAAATGAAGGGAAACTTAGGTTTACAGATGGATTTGTCCCTGCTTAACCGGCTCTGCAAATATGTGCAGGCTTTATCTCAGCTAATTTTAAAATGCTGTTCCAGAAATAATACTGAACAAATCTGACTCTCCCCCCACAAACACACACAGATATCACACACACACACACACACACACACACACACGTAGCAGTTCTGACCAGCTTCCCCAGATACCAGTACCAACTTCAAACGGATCATTCCATCAGCTATTTGCTCTGCATTTTATTAATCCCAGCACAGAGCTGTTGTAGCAAATCTAATTCCTTTTATGCCTGAAAGTGGATTCATACCTCTTTATAATGCACTTTAGACATATAAACAGCTTTATGCCATAGCTTTCTGATACCACACCAAGAAACTAAAAAACAGCTTTCTGATACCACACCAAGAAACTAAAATATAGTTACCAAAAAAATATTTCTCTCATTCACAAACACACACAATCTCATACAAGAAGAGACCAGCACTATTAAAATGAAGGTATTTGAGACTTTTCAGTAAGAGCATAAAGAAAGAACAAAAATCTGAGCCCTGAACAAAAATGGCTGTCAACAAATTGTAGATATATGGGTGAAAAGAGGCAGTAAAAATAGTTGCACCTAATATGAAAGCCATTTCTACCCATTCAGTATAGGCAAATCTCCCCAGTTGAAGAACCCCCTAAAAAAGAAAAGACTAAATGACTGGATCCAGATGAAGTTTGTTATAGTATTTTAGTCCTACTGAAATTAATGGGTCAAATTAGCCATGACAAACTTGTCCCATTTGATTTCAATGGGAATGTGGCTGCTGTCCTTCAAGCACTTAGCTGGGAGTAAATCCCATTGAACCCATGCTTACTTCTGAGTAGGCATGTATAGAATTCTAAAGCATGAATATCTGGATTGAGCCCTATATTTTTTTACTGACCAATTGTTCCAAGAGCATAAAACAAACCCACGTTTAGGTGAGTTCAGATATTTTTTGAAACTACACTTATTTAAAATAAAAATACTCGAAAAGGAAATACATCTTTCCAAGTACTCACCAAATTGCATGCTGGGTCCGGTAAATAAACACTGTGGCAAATAAGAAAATAAAAATAGTATTAATGTTCAAAAAACCAACCAATATGATTAAAATGCATTTTCTAAGGTTGTTCTTCATACTGTATATCCTTAAGGCTGAATTCACACAACTGCTTTCCTATCATCATGAGATTTTTTAAAAATATGATGACTCCATGGTGGGAACCATGTCAAACTGAATATCGTAAATGGCCCAGCAGGCATTCAGTTCCCAAGTCACCCCACAAAACGCAAACCTTCAGGTCTTTCAGGCTGCAGATAAGTCATGCACTGGGCTCTTTTCACAAGAACCAAGTCTGTTTCTGAAATAAATATTTGTTGTGGAGGGATCGAAACATACAAAGAAATAGAAATAACAACTTCTAAAATGTTGATTTGAGAAGCCTTCTCTCTCTTTTTATTATTTAATACTGGGTTTGATTCTCAAGTTCCTTTAACTATCAAATGGATAGAATCCACCTCCTACAGAAGGAATCTGTCCACTGGTTAAAGGAGTCCATGCTTCAGATCAATTCTTCTGTTGGAGGGAGCCAGTAGAGCCCAATGGTTGTGTCAAGGATGAGGAACCTCAGAACCAGGAGCCAAAAGCAACGCTCCAGATTCTCAAAAAAATTCCCAGGCCACACCACCTCCCCAGCCACACTCCTCTTCTCCAGTCCTATTCTGTACCCTTCTTGAGAGTTTTTGTTGGAATGTGTCCTTGAACTCTAATAAAACTCTTTAAAGCCCTAAATGGCCTCGGTCCTGTATACCTGAAGGAGCGTCTCCACCCCCATCGTTCAGCCCGGAAACCACTGAGATCCAGCGCCGAGGGCCTTCTGGCGGTTCCCTCATTGCGAGAAGTGAGGCTACAGGGAACCAGACAGAGGGCCTTCTCAGTAGTGGCGCCCGCCCTGTGGAACGCCCTCCCATCAGATGTCAAAGAGATAAATAATTACCTGACATTCAGAAGACAACTTCAGGGAAGTTTTTAATATGTAACACTGTACTGTTTTTAACACTGATTGGGAGCCGCCCAGAGTGGCTGGGGAAACTCAGCCAGATGGGCGGGGTATAAATAAATAAATTATTATTATTATTATTATTATTATTATTATTATTCATGCTTTTTGCTTGCCTGGATGGCAACTAGCTGGCTGGTGCAGAAACAGGACTACTGAACATGGTAAAAACCACGTTTGTTGCTCTGCCTGCTTTTGCCACTGGCCCCACCCATCCCAGTATGATTGTCCCTGGAAAGTAGCCCAGAAAGGTATGTGGCCCTCAGGCTTGAACAGGCTCCCCACCACTGCACTAGTTGTATTAGCTAGGGAGAGTTCAAATCCCCTCTTGGCCATACAGCTCACTGGGTGTCAGGGGGAAATCACTTTCCCTCAGCCAAATGTATATGGCAGGGTTGTTGAGCAGGTAAAATAGTGGGTGGGGATCATATAGGCTCCTTGGGGAGAAGGTGGACTATAAATGTAGTAAATGATGAATCCATGTGTAAGAATTCAGAACAGGATACAGTGGTACCTCGGGTTACATACGCTTCATATTACATTCGCTTCAGGTTACAGACTCTGCTAACCCAGAAATAGTGCTTCAGGTTAAGAACTTTGCTTCAGGATGAGAACAGAAATTGTGCTCTGGCAGCGAGGTGGCAGCAGGAGGCCCCATTAGCTAAAGTGGTGCTTCAGGTTAAGAACAGTTTCAGGTTAAGTATGGACCTCCGGAATGAATTAAGTACTTAACCCGAGGTACCACTGTATATTGGTTTATGAATAAAACCTCACAGAATATAGTAGGACATGGGAGAAGGGTTAACTGGTTTCCAGGCTTATAGTGCTGATTATTACCTGACAGAAAACAATTTTACTGCATGTACTAGGACTGTACCAGTTGGTTGCCAATGCAAGTTGCACTATAGTGCAAAACTAGCATGCAGAAAAGATGCAGGATCTAAACACCAGATTCCTATTCCTTCCTGTTAACAACTCTTTCCTAAAAAAATCCACAGAGTTACCTTTCAACATTACCCGCCCCACCCCGCCGTCCTGTGCTCTTCCATAAATTTTACTCCACAGAAAATGTAACATATGTGAAGGACCTCAGTTCCACTTGGATCTCACCATACAGTGACAGTGGGGGGATCATCATGTGGCGAGAGAAAGTGTGCTCCTGGTAGATTTTGAGCACATTCAAATTATTTGCAAATAAGATATTACAGATATTAGCAATGAGTCTACCCAGTTGAAATAGCTAGAAGGGATTAAGCCCCAATTCATTCCTCTTAATAAATAACTTGCAGGGTGGAAGTCGAGCAGATGCATAACTTCAACGGTGTATCACTGAACTGAAAAGGAAAATGCAAAATAATCCATATGTTAGAAGGCACTGTGGACAATATTCACAGGTTTTGACAGGAAGAGTCAAACTCTCCCCATGTAATCCCATCATGACCCATAGAACCGACAACCCAGAATATTTACATCTAACCAAAGGGTAGCCTATACGAAGCCCTCCAGGTGTTCTTGGATTCCAACTCCCTTCGGATGAAGAACATTATACAAATTTAATAAATCATCATTACCATCATTGACCATAGGCAATGGTATTTGCATTACTGATCACAGAGATCACTATTATCACACACCAGCTCTCCATATCCCTGATTCAAGTTCCTAGGAACATTGGCACGGAGACAAACAAAATTATAATCCATGAAGTGAACAGTTCTAAACGTTGCAAGCCAGTACAGGATTCGCTCATGGGAAGCTGTTTCTGGTGACATTCCCTAGTGTGAGTTTAAAGTGTGAGTTTTAGACAATGTATCATTATATGGAACACATGGCATTATATGGTATTGTTTCCCTATCACATTTCACCCATTTATTTATTTATTTATTTATTTATTTATTTATTTATTTATACAAAATAATATAAAAATCTCTCTAAATGATTTGAATAGAAAATAATGAAAGAACAAACAATAACATTCCATACAATTTGTAGAAAATAAGTAAAACGAGAACAAAACTATACTGCTCAGTGTACAAAGATAAAACTGATCTGTGTACAAAGCAGAGAATTAAAAAATGAAGAGTTGGGGCCCATGAAAGCTTGGGTAAACATATATGTTTTCAAGAGGCATTTAAAAGTCATTAATTTCTCTGCCTCATGATTTTCTTTAACCAAGTTTTTGCTGCTTCATATTTTAAACAAATATTTGTTTCAGAAAACACAGGCTGATTTTTACGTTCACGTTCCTGTGTGGTGAAAGAGTCACATTGAGAAAACTGGAAAAATAATGAGGTACATACATATGTCTTTGAGGGACACGGATGGCACTGTGGGTTAAACCACGGAGCCTAGGACTTGCTAATCAGAAGGTTGGCGGTTCGAATCCCTGTGACAGGGTGAGCTCCCATTGCTCGGTCCCTGCTCCTGCCCACCTAGCAGTTCGAAAGCACCTCAAAGTGCAAGTAGATAAATAGGTACCGCTCCGGTGGGAAGGTAAACGGCGTTTCCGTGCGCTGCTCTGGTTTGCCAGAAGCGGCTTAGTCATGCTGGCCACATGACTCGGAAGCTCCCTCAGTAAGTAAAGCGAGATGAGAGCCGCAACCCCAGAGTCGGTCACGACTGGACCTAATGGTCAGGGGTCCCTTTACCTTTACCTGTTTACATATGTCTTATC